TTATTTTAACCAATTTGCATATCAAAAGCCTACATATAAAATTATGAGGTACTGAGAAAAATGCATTTTGTGCGTAAAAGGTGACTTATTTTAGGTCTTAAACATGAAAGGAAAGTATGTTGCGCTATTAATGAAATCCCGCTCAATATGGAAGTTGGCAGAGAAGTTCCCAAACTTGCACCATTCTGGCAGAAGCTTAAAGGAACAAATCATTATTTAATTAGATAATTAAGAGATGTAAATTATGCATACAACGTACAAAAAAAATTTAAACCACTTACCATAACTTTGCATTACCGTTATTTGTCTGTTTTTAAATAAAGTTGTACTTTCTCTTTTCCTTTTTTTTTTTCCCCCTAATGCCAAGACCCTGTAACTTTGTATGCTTTACTACCCAGAAAGCTCAAACTCTGTATTCTGAATAGTTGAGTATATATATTAAAAAAAAATGAATTAGCATTAGAAAAGCAAAATAAACGGAAGAAATTTCTGGTTTAAAATTATAAAAATAATTATTGTTTTTAATCAATTTTCATATCAAAAGCCTACAGATAAAATGCCACTCTGTCTTTTTTTTTTTTTTTTTTAATGCAGGATTCTTTAACTTTGAAAATACTCTGTTGCATTTCATCCCACAGAAGACAAGTCCCAAACATTAATAATTTTTTCAAAATGCAAAAAACAAACAAAATTTCTATTCTATTTTGAAAAAAATTAAACTGTCTTATCAAGAATTACTCTGGCTTACATATAACCCATTTTATGTAAAGCCCAAAGTTGATGTTGTTATGATTGCATTGTAATGTCATGCTTTATTTTTGCCATGAAATCGCACTCTGTTTGGCAACAGCTTTGCCTCTTTACAGTATAATGAACTCTGTAAAGGTGGTACAAATCTCTTATTTGCTTAATTTATCATACAAATCTCTTATTTGCTTAATTTATCATACAAATCTCTTATATCCTTAATTTATCAGAGAAAAGTCTTTTCCTAAAATTATAAAATATTCTAGTTGCTTGAGCTTTCCAGTTGAATGCTGGATAATTGGACTTTTACTATACCTTGTTTTTTTTTTTTTTTTTTTTTTTTTTTTTGTTGTTGTTGTTTTGTTGTTTTTGTAGTTTATTGCAGTAAAGAAGTCTAGATTTTTATTATTTTTTAAACAAGCAAAAATTATTTCAGGTATGGTGCACACAACAGGGACCCAGGGTTGCTGCATTTAATGTTGGAAAAACGGGTCGGTATGTGTCAAAACTTTTATTAGTTTTTTTTACAATTATCCTTCAGTTTTAATAACAATTTGAGATAAATCCTCTTCTATTCTTTCATTCTGCACTCATATCATAGTAATCACTTGAAGCAAAAAAATTATAAAACAGTTTAAAAGTACTGCAGCAGTTGTGGCACAATGGTACATATCTTCGTGTATGTGATAGGGAAAGAACAGCAGATCACTATGTATTTGATGGCCCACAAACATCCAATGCCATCTTAAAAAACCAGCTTCCACAAGCTAGTTAGCGTGGGCTGCGAACACTAGTAGTAACAGATCTGCTCAAAATAAAATTGGCTCAGTCATTAAATAGACTGCCACTTCCTACTCAGTCATGTCAAGCCATATGCAACCTGTCCCATACATGTCCTAAATTTGCACAGCAATAGGAATACAACAGTACGCTACTTATGTTCAACGCTGTTACCCATATTCTATTTTGTACATTTGCGTACTGATATGTATATTTTCAATTTGATTATTTGCTTAACAACTGCACATATATTTAGATGATATGCTGTTTAGATGATATGCTGACAAAAGTGTAACATTGTTGTTCACACAACAATGTTACACTTTTGTCTTTTCTCGATTGTTTGAAGTGATATATTTGCTCAAGTCTTCTAAGTGTTCTGTCATCATTAACTAGTTTCCAAGCTATATGTGGTCAGTTCAAAGAACTTATCATACTGCCATAATATCTTCCAGTGAATTGGCATTTAAACTTTGACAGGGGTGTTAGCAAAACCCCTGTGAAAGGTCTACTCAAGCAGTGACCAGTTTAATTGTGACTGGAAATCTGTTGGATATTTGCCACATCATCACTGGGTCTTCTGAGATTTAGAACATGCTATGTTTGGGGACAGCTAAAGCTTAGTTAGGCACTGTACCAAGTGCTTTATGAATTTTGAGGTAGTGCAGCTGCCTAGGTGTTTAGTTTTGAGCTTAAAACCATATTTAGTAAATAAATGAATTTTAACAACAAAGGCAAGTAGCTTCTTTGTAATATTATATATAAAATAAATCATTTAATTTGTGTTAACATTTCGGTTGTAACCCAACAGGCGTTAATAAATAAATTATAATTTGGCCTGTATTTTCTTTTATAGTTAAACAGTTATTAAAAGCAATAATTTACCAATAAGTTAGGATAAACATGTGTGTATATAGTCATTAGATAAAAATGTTGTTAAGATGTTGCCTACGCCTTTAAAAAAAAAACTGCGTATTTCAGTCCTCCGTATCTGCATTTACATTTTTGCCAAATATTTTAGAATCATCCTGTATATAGAATAGTAATTGGAATGGTTTTCAATGATATGGTCGAAATCTATTTTATTTCTCATGAATGATTTTAGAAACAGGAAAAACAAGCAAAATAGCATTTTAAAACTTTGGATTCAGGATTTTACTTAAAAGAGTAATCATAGTTTTAATTTATTTTCCTTTATGTCATTCTGCAGATTTTTTTATATGTGTTAACCCATTAACCGCCAAAACTACGAGGGATGTTTCTTTTCTTATAAAAATAATAATAGATATTAAATTAAGCATTTATAACATAAATTTACATTGAAAAAAAAAAAAAAAGAGCGAGTGTTGCGTTTGCACAACTTCAGCGGAATAAAACTACAGATGTTGAGTGAGTATTGTACTCATGTGATGTTTCTTTTGAGTGGAGCGATGATTACTTTTTAACTGTATAACGCTTTATATCTACAAATCACTTTACTTGTAATTATTTAATATAAAATATACATTGTATTTCTTTACAAATACATATTATTTAATGAAAGATTCAACATGAAACTTGATAAATTATATTTAAGCTACTGTGCGTCATAAAAGTCGGCATGGTACTCTTACAACAGGTTTTTGATATCAACGTACTTTACGATAAAATGTCTACCATCTCCTACATGGTTTTGAATGCTGAATTACTAGATCTTCCTGCTGAGATCTCTTCTGGCCTAATTCACACTCTATAAATGTGCAAAGATAATGCATTCTGCATCGGAAATCTAAAAGAACTTTATAATTTAGTGTACAAGTGATGATATTTTGTAATTTAGATACGTTCTTACCTCATATATTTATCATATTGTCAATTTGACTGTTGTCAAATGCAAATTCTGCTTCAATTCCTGTACTGCAACGTGATATCGATTCTCGTACACCGGACAGAATGTCCTTATCAAAGACCAATACATTTTTTTCTTGAGGTAAAAATGATATACTGTAATCATAATATTCCAATAATGTTCTCATCTATACTTCAGATGCAATAATTCTGGTTTTTTTTTTTTTTTTTTTCTGAGCGTATATATTGTCTGTTCAACGAGAAAGGAAATGTCTAACACAGAAATCGAAATCTGTGCACTAGTTTTCCTTGTATTTGGTCTTTTATAATTTCTCTTATCTCTTTTCATGTTCTTCCTGAGACATAACTAACAGTTCCTTTTTTATCCTTTCAAATTTCAGTCTTTGCTTTTAAACTTTTAATATACTTACTGCTTTTAGAAGGCTAAACCTTACTTCTTACGTGATTCACTCCCAGCAGCATATTTGGTAAAATATATTGTCATTATTAAAACATTGCCATTCCTTCTTCTTGTCACTAGCTTCTTCAATTTCTGGGGAACAAACATATCATTTTCTTCTGGTCATTATTAACATTATATCATCTGTTTCGTCATCAAAGATCTTTGAAGGTCTTCTTGTAATGTCAAGATACCTCGTTCTAGGCTTTTAATCACAGAACATCAAAAGAATGAGTGAAAAGGAGATGACTACCCGTTTCCTGCGCTTGTGTCGCGTAGCACCTGTTTCCCTTCCTTCCCAACACAATATAACATCTGACTGATGTAATATGTTGATAACGGTGACCTTGACTAAAAAAGATCCCAAAAGACGGCGATTCTTTCGTTAATATTTTTAGCAAAAATACCCGTCGACAATTTTGCTGAAGTATGAGATTATTATTAACAAATGATTGTTGAAGCAAATTTTTTACAGAAATAATCTTCATAATATTCTCTACACAAAATCATCTGCTGGTATAAAATAGCTTAGGTAGTTATATTTATATACGCATTTATTTTGACTGTTGTGTCAACGCAACACCAGCGGCTAATGGGTTAAGAAGCATGGCAAAGTTGGGGACATTTTAAATTCAGGCAAAAATTCAGGCTGTGTTATTCTAAAAAATATCCTGCAAGCTTAAACTGCATGTATGTGACTTGTTTGGCAGATGAGCATCAAGATTATCATTACTGCATGTTTCTTGAGGCTCAGGGTTATTTCAAAGCAAAACCTCATCCTGCTATGAAAAGTAGAAAAAAAAATATGTAGTTCTTCGGGGGGAGAGTGCTGCTTTTGGGGAAAATAATTGAATCGGGTTATTTTTGAAAGGGCACATGTCCATTTTTATTTTACAGCAAGCAGTAAAAATCTTTTAACATTTTCCAGAATAAAGTTACCACATATTTCTCCAAACAAAAAGGGGTAATCAAAACAACACTGTAGGCATTTTTTCACAATATTAACTCCTATCTTAAAATTTCTTGGCAATTTTTAATCTTGTGGAGATGTGCCCTTTCAACAATAAAGAAGCAAAAAGGGATAATATTTATGAATTTTTCTTTGTACAGCTTACTTTATTTCAACATAAAAGGCATTTGGAAGCAATCGAAATATGAAATGTGTCACAAAATAAAATGGCTTATATATTTTTCGTCCAATTAAAAATAACATTTACTCACAGAAATGTATTATTCTTTTCAAAAATCTTTAATATTGAAATAGTATTTAAAACCCACATATAGTCAAACAATTTTTAAGCAACTACATTAAACTTAAAAGTTGTCTTCGCTCTCGGAATATGCAGTTGTAGATATTGGCTATAACGTGATGCTGTTGTAAAAATCCTTATATTCTTCTGGTATGTAGTGAATAAATTTTTTGAGATAATCTATGTTCTTTACGTTAATTACATTCATCTCAGATAGGCTGGTGCAGATGGAAGAACTATTTCTACCTTCAGTCTCTCCAATTTAAATTTTTTTAATCAAACCATTTAACGAGTTATACGTAAATAAAACTCCCTTCTTCATCTTGAAATAGTAATAATCAGATATTTTAAAAAATTGCTATGCTCCTTTATATCTTCTTTGTGCAATATCCTCCAAAGGCACAACTGGTTTTTTGAAGTATCTTGGCAACCAACTGTTGAAGTCTAAGATGATGTTGTTTTCCAGCAGTATAGCTGAAATTTTACCATCAGAACTGCTTTCAGAAATGAGGTTCTTCTACTGGGCTGGTGTGTATACTCGACCCATTTTTCTAATGTGAGTTTAAAAACACCGAAAGTCCTATCACGTGGCAAAAAGCTGTGTCCCCTTACAGGAAAGTATTGCTTGACAATCAAATTTTTTCTGGTCACAGAAAGAGCTAAGAGGAACATTTAAATGGTATGATTTCAGTTTTAATCCATGCAACCGTTAAAAAAAATATGAATTTCTCTTGCCGATGCCGGAATATGTTGTCTTATATAGTCACATAAAAATGAAGAAGCCTCATTAGGACTCTTTCGTTACCAACTCCTCATGGTAAGTATATACAGTAATTTTTTTTTTTTTTTTTGTTTTAAGATTGTAAATACTAGAACAATTTACCGTATCTATCGATAATAAAATATCTTTTGAACTGGAATATGGGGAAGTATGAGGTTGTGCATGTAATCCATTAAAGAGTGTATGTGGTTTCCTCCTAATCACACTTATCACTCACCTCTTTCAAGGCTGAGTAAATTTTTTTGGATTTCCGAATCTGCATAGCTTTTTCAACCAATTGCCACTCTTTTTGCAGTTTCATTCAAGGAGGTACTTTTAATTTTAGTTGTTAGCTGTTCACATGTTTCACAAACATCTTTTTGGGGTCTCCTGAAGCAGTAGTTGAATTGTTCTTTAAAAAATATGTAATAAAAGTTGTATTTTACCTTTGAGAAAGGATATTTTTTCATGAACAAACAGTACATGGCTTTTATATTCAGATCAGCAGGTAAATATTTGATCATCGAACTGGTGCAATGATATGTTTTCAGTGGAAAACTAACAACATGATCTCTAATCACAAACCTCACTGGAAATAATGTGTGTTTTTGGTTTATGTCCACATAGGTCTTTAGGAGATTTTCCTAGGGCCAGTAGTGATGAAATTCTTCCAAGCCATTTAGCACTTATTGAAAATAATGCACTAAGTGATTTTTTGTAAATTGAGATGCAGTGTCCACAAGATGAAATACTGTAATAAATGGAAAAACACTTTTTGCCTTTACGTTGTGGAAAATATCGGTTTACATTTCAAGATATTTTAAAAGAGTAAGCAGTTCACATGTGCAACAGGTGTTAATAGTAAATAAAACTAAAAATGTTTTCATCAACAAAACACAGACAAAAGTAGATGAGGTTTCATTTACCCGCAATTTGTACCCTTAATTTGTCGAGAGACGTCTTTGTCGCTGTGGCTGTTATAAGCCTGTCCAGTAACTCTGGATTTCTTAATAATATTCTGCTTGTAACTATTAGCATTCCGAACACCATGTTTTCGTATGTACATTCGTGAAACACTTTCATGTGACGATACACTGCTTGTATCGGACATATTATCTGAAGAAAACCAGGAAACAAACTGCACAGACACACATCACTAAGCAAAAGGATGTTGCAATGTTTACAAAGACTGCTCGATAAGAGAGAACAATAGGTTTCAACAACAATGGGAGGTTTCACCTGTGATGCCTGCACTATGCCCCACGCTATGTTATGTGGAGGAAGGGCTCACAGCATGGACATGTTTCCTTTCAACAATAAACACCATCTTCAGCCATTTACCAGTACACACAAAGTTAAATTAGAGATGTGCTGCCTCAACTCCAAATGCGTCTGTATTTTTAGAATGAGAAAAAGTTAAAACATCAAAATTGACAAAATATGGACATGTGCCCTTTCAACAAAAATTGATTCAATTAGTTCTTTGGGGAACCATCCTGTGTACTGTAACTTGTTGGAAAATTTTTGTTTGTCCTTGCTTCTGTGCAATGCCAAGAAAGATAACTTCAGCGTTGTTTAAAATAGCCAGTAGAAGCCAGAGCTACTTATTATCCTGATGTGGCTGTCTTTGAGGTTATCACAAAAGCCATGGCTGTGATTCTCTCCCTCATGGAAGAGTATTTCAGTGTGCAGCATGCTGATGTGAATTTAGCTGTTGAAAATAGGAACAGCAGTGAGAATCTTCTAGAACAGGGCTTCTTAAACTTTTTTCTGTCATAACCCCTTTTTATAACAGATTTTTTTCATGACCCCAGCACCCCATAATATTTACGAAAATTTTGTGGACCCCATAAGCATTGCTCAAATCCGACGCATGCGTGAGTGAAACTGTAAATTTTTTCACGTGTACTGTAATATACTATTGCAGTTTTAGGTTATAAGATATTTCAGCCACCTTTTTAGCATGCCTTCGTAGTGTAGTGGTTTGCACGCTGGGCACGTATACCAGAGGTCCGTGGTTCAATTCCCGGCGAAGGCGTTGCACATTTTCCACTTCTTCCTTTTTCAAAAATAATCTAATGCCTCTACAGTGGCCCCCCGAACTAAAAGGGTGGGGGATGACCAGTGGCAAAGCTAAGGTGGGGTAAGGGGGAACATCTGTCCCTAGGCGCAGCATTCAGAGGGTGCCAAATTGATGTTACGAAATTTTAGAATGAATGCTTTCCGTTCTTGGCACAGAGAAAGGGGCGCAAAATCCTAGTTGTCCCCGGGCGCTGAAACCCAGCTATCCTCTGGGGATGATATTCTCCACACCAGGATTTGGTGATTGGGTCCCCTAAAAAACCCCAGTGACCCTTTTAAAGGGAAGCTATAAGTATTTCTCCTGTCTGATGCTTCGTAGTGTGGTGGTCTGCATGCTGGGCGTGTATTCCAGAGGTCCATGGTTTGATTCCCGATGAAGGCGTTGCTCATTTTTCAAGTCTCTTGCTTCCAAATAACCTAATAGCTCTACAGTGGTGCCCGAACTAAAAGGGTGGTGAATGATAATTCTCCACACCCAGGATTTGATGATTAGAAAAAACCCCACTCGCCCTTTAAAAGAGGGAGTATATAAGGTTTTTCTCCCACCTTCTTAGCATGCCTTCATAGTGTAGTGGTTTGCACACTGGGCGCGTATTCCAGAGATCCGTGGTTCGATTCCCGGCGAAGGTGGTGTTCATTTTTCATTTCTTCCTGTTTCAAAAATAACCTAATGTCTCTACAAGGTCATTAACTTTAATTTTAAGACATAGAACAATTTTAGCAGACGAAAGTAGGTAATAAAATGACAGCATCACATGCAATGCAAGTAAAATGAATGCTTATATTATAAAAAGAATGTGTTGAAACTTATGTTTTGTCTATATTGTCTTATCTTTATCTATTTTTAGATACATTATGCAAAAATATTTGGTAATTGTAAAATTATTATAATAATTTAAAGAAATATCAAAACTGCTAAAATTTTTGGCCACCTTCCTGCTGCAGATCTTGCAACCCCACAGTTTAAGAAACTCTGTTGTAGAGTGTGATTCCAGTCCAGGCTGTATCAACTGTGAAGCAATGCACTGACTTGTAGTCAAGTACCCAATGACTTAATATAATGCAATGCATCAGTTTCATTGCTATCCCATTTTATTTTCTTCATGTGCTATAGGTTGACAAGCATTGTTAAGTCTAAGAAAGTACCAGTTAAAATCTTTTGTTGTTGACTTATATCTGGTATTCTGCCTTGGTGCACCATCACTGTCAACACCCTCCAAACAACTGAACTAAAGTTACCAATAGTCTTGCTCATATTTATTTTGCTGAAAGAAATATTATGCAAATAAGAAGTAAGTTTTTCTTTTAAGTGATTCTGTGCCTGTATGCTCAAGTATTTTAAAATTAACTGTTCTTCAGATTATTCTGTCCAGGATATGCGATGGTTGGAGGAAGTTTTTCGACATCTTTATCAAAGGATCATCTCTCTTCATGCTATTTCTTAGATGTTGATGGAGTATTAAAGAAAGTAGTAGTGCCTTTCCATTTAGTGTTAAGGTATGCTTTCTTTCTTTTGGTAATTTAAAATTTTTATGATTGGATGATAATTTTTTATTTTATCATTAGATTAAATCTTTGTTATGATGCCAATTGAGCTCTGCTATGTCCTTATTTTATGTTTCGCTTTTTAATTTCTGTGAAATTTTATGAATGTTTTAAATCAATTTTTTTGGGGGGGGGAATGCTAAATTATGCTATATATATTTTATTCTTCTATTGAGCCAGCATTAAATGTTTCTTATTTGGACACCCCCCAAAAAAGTTCTTTTGTCGATTGTGATCATTTGAGAATTTCTCACTATGATTGCATATTCACAAATAATTAAATTATTATCTGATAGTCTGTTGTGCTGAAATTTTGTTCACACACTGTTTCTGGATGACAACGCTGTGTCAAGAAGCAATTTTTTCAAAATTTGATTTGGATTTTTTTTAAATTTAATGTTTAAACAATTTATTGCCCTTATCTTTGTTTATTGAACAAACTTAGCAAATTATAATTTTACTGTTTGCACCATTGAATACTGCAGGGAAAAAAATCATTTCATTGAAACCTGTATGAAAACTACTGAATACACCATAAAAAAATCCTTTCAATGAAACTTGTATAAAAATGATAATTTATAAATTTTTGGAGAATTTTTTAAAATCACTAGATTTTTTATACTGTTTTACATTTATGATTTTAAAATTTCAATGCATAAAAATGCTTCGAATGTAAAGTTTTGAAATTTTCACAAACAAACTTTTCTCCTCTTTTAAAAGAAAAATGATAAAAAAATATTAAGCAATTTTCTTTTGTTTTTTTTAAAATGTGGTGCAGTCTTAAGCAGATGAGGAAGAAAGTGTTTTGAGTAAGTGTGCCATCTTGGCACACTTAATGATGAACTGGCAATATTTGTTTTTTCATTTTAGCTTCATGTAAAATTAGCTTCATGTTAAATAGCATTGTTATTACTTACATTTTCCAAAACTGAATTTTCAAAATGATTTTTTCATTTTCTGAATGGTGTTTGCTTATTTTTCTTTATTTCATAATTTTTGATAATTGGTTGCTAGTGTTTTAATAATGACTAAATATTTTGTCATTGATAATGCGTAATTGAGATTAAAAAACATAAAATAAAAAACAATTAAAAAAAGTTTTTATACAATAAGCTTCTATTTAAAATTGATATGGTAAGTAATGCACTAAAAGAAGAAAAAAAAAATGATAATATGGTTTAATGGGAATATTAGATTAAATAATTTCATTGGCAGAATTCATTTACAGTTTTACATTGAGAATAATCTAAGCATGTGCAGCTTATGATAAATTTAAAAAGATGATGGTTATACATTTGACAGTGCAATTCAGTCAATAGATTTCATTATTTAGGTGCCCCACACTTTTATTATTCATGCCATAAAATTGTAGATAAATTCTGTACAAAGAATTATTTAATCTGTTATTTATTTCCATTAAACTGTATGATCAGTTATTTTTCTCATTTTAGTGTATTTATTATTACATCCATTTTAAATTAAAGCTTATTGTGTAAAAGTCTTTATTTGAATTGATTGTTTTAAAAATTGATTGGCCTGTCATGACTGTTCAGAATATTTTACGGGGCATATGTTTATTACTCTAATATTTAAGGTACATGGGAAATATTGCCCTCTTCCCCAATTTGTATATTTATTTTATTTATTAGCCTAAAAGGGGCTTTAGTCCCAAATGGGATATTAGTCTCAAAACCAGCATTGAATCACAATAAATGGAATATCACTTTTCACATTGCTGCAATTAAATATTATCACCCTGTATGATATTTAAAGAAATGAAATAATGAAGAATCTGCATGAGTGTATGCATGTTTCTCACATTGGGAAAAAACAACAGTACCTAGAGCCATCAAATTTAAAAAAACTTAGCTCTCTGCCGGAACTTGGGTACCTGGAAGCCCAAATTTTAAATTTCAAATTTGTTTTATTATTTAATTCATATTTTCTAAAACGTGAATTTTTTATTAACAAACTCAGTGACTTGAAAGTGAGCAGTAGCAGCACTGTAGAGGGGGGGGAATTATCTGTATATTGGAAATTCTAGATATGGTGTTTTTAAATATTTTGTGATTTTGCTATAGAATCAAATTTTTTATGGTGTAAGCACCAAGAATGTGGAATTTAATAAATAAAGTGTTAATGATAAAAAGATGTTTTGTAAAATCAGCTTTGTAAGAAAACTGAACATTGATATGATGAACTGAGAAAAGACTGGGAGGGGGAACAGAAAATGTATGGCAATACTTAACGCTGTGTTGGGAATTCTGAATGTACACTGCTATGTTGCTCTTAATTTTTTAAATATTATATATGGCATAAGTGCGGAGAAAAGGGTGCTTAATGATAAAACTAAAAAGACAAAAAGAAAAAAGTAGTAGATTAGTAGGAATGAGTATAACAGCAGACAGGTAGATTGAAAGCTCATGGAGAGTGTAAAAAACCTTAACAAACCCCTTTTGTGTGACTGTTGTTCACTATACTGAATGACTATTATTCTTGAACACTGAATGTCTGTTTTGGAAGTCTAGGGGGATCACATATTGAAAAATGCTGCAATTAAGGATTTCTTAATGGTGATAAAAATTGAAGCATGAGTGTGTGAATAAGGTTGATTTTACATTTATTAAATAGTAAGTTTCTGTGTAACTTTAAAGAATGGCTGGTCACCTCAAAGCTATATGGCTAACCTGTGGCAAAATTGTTTGTAAATTAGAACAGCATGAGAAATAAAGAATGATTTCTAAGTTGAGCTGCAATTGTAGCAGAATTTGCTTGGTGTCATCACTGCAAATTATTTTTAGAACTCTCACAGTGTCATCTGCAATTGGTATTGTGAACTAATTGCTTTTTGGCCTATTTAGATGATGTTTTAATTCCAGTGTTTGCTATTAGAGGGTACCTGTGACCTCACTCTTCTTTTTGACTAATACTGCTGGCTGAAGACAAATCTTGTGAACCTCAGGGCCATAGCTTGATGGCTAAACTAATTGCATCAAAAACAACTGCTGTTGATGTGAGGGATTTTTAGCGATATCTTTCATGTGTAGTACCTACAGGGCCCTGAGCATAATCGTTTAGTTATTGAAACATTTGGTTTCGAGAAAGTACATTAGTGGTTAGTCATATTAAATAACCACAACAGAAGATCATTACAGTGAAATCCTTTTAAACCAGCAGCAATAGAATCTCGCCGGTTCTGGATGACTGAATATACAGTAGATGGCACTTAATTGTATTATGGTGAATGTTATCATTTGGATATTGTTATCAAATTGCCTATGTCCCACCTATTTGTATATGAAAAACACAGAAAATACTTTACTTGCTGGAATCTACAATTCAGTTAGAACAATCAAAATATTACTGAATAAATTTTTTGGAATTTAAAATGAATTATAAAAATTGCTAAGCTACAGAGAAACGTCACAAAGAGAGGGATTAAGTAGCCAAACATCTTAATTTTGATTTTAGTCAGCTGCTTAAAATTAGGCAAAAAATGTAACCTTAATTCGGCAATATAGTTTTGAATAACTTACAAAAATATTTGTTCCTTTTTCTGAATTAAAATGTTGCAAAACTACCTGTTTATGTTTCTGGCACTATTTAAATTTAATTAATTAAATTCCATTGGTATTTTGGAGGAAATGTTTTTCTCATTGTTTGATGTTATCAAAATAGTTGTGTACAAACATAATCACATTACTTGGAGCCTACTGAACAGCAAAGAAAAATATATATATATTTCTAGAACTTGTTCATATTTTATGATGCTATCTTTAGATATTGCAGCATTCAGAATCTGTTGGTTATGTTTCTTATCTACCTGCTGCAATTAAGTAAATAATATTGAAAATCTTGCAGATTATTTAAAAATAAAATACATATATGAATTTATATTTTGGAAAAACAAAATTAAATAACAATTTAAAATGACTTTTCATGAATAATAATCGTCTCTAAACATGTAATGAAATCCAAAATGGCACCACAGCTGCAGAATGTATTATTTTAAAACCTAAGTAATGTTCTTCTTTCGACTTGTCAAGTATGAGCAACATTACGGCCACAAGTTATGCCAATGGTGAAATAATGTTCTTTACTTTTTTTTTAAGCAAGCAACAAATATTAGGCATGTTTTAATGAGCACTGCCTTCAACGTTCTCACAACAATTCATAAAAAAGATTGGTAGTCCATTTTCATAGATAAAACTATGTTATACCTACCTAGTTTTATCTATGTAGTTTTACTACAGTACAATAAAGCCTTATTCGACCAATGGACAAAGGAATTATTTTGATGGAGATTGGTAGTCCATCAAAATAATTCCTTTGTCCATTGGTAGAATAAGACTTGTTATATTGGGTGGCTGAAATGTAACATAAATATTTTCCACATTTAAAGGTGCAGAATGTTTGCTTATGCAATTTTATTTTATAAGCATAAATTTCAAATTTAAATTTAGACCATTAAAATTTTCTTTATTTTGATACTGCCAGTTAACTGGGTGCTGGTTATGAAAGATTTTACTGTATTTGAAAAGAACAGTGAAAAGGCAACTACAGAACTACTGGCCTTGTTTGCATTCTAACCTAAATATGTTGAGAACACTGAAGTAACTTACCAATCCTTATATTCTTCAGCAGTTGCAATTATGAAAGTGTTCATTTCATAATTGAAGTTGTCTCAGCAGCTGGCAGCAATCTCAGTGGGGCCATAAAGCTCCATAAGATGAATCTTGGTTAATTTCAGCATAAGCCAGAGAATCATTCTTATCGTTTTTGAGTTCTTTTGAACTATGTATCTTGTTAACGTATTATCTGGGGTACTTTTAATCACATCACATTGTGTAGGAAACTTTCATACTGATGCTGGAAACTTTTTCATGTTCCTCTGATATCTGGATGTTCAGTAGCCAAAATGATCTGTTATCCAGACCTCCTGCATAATTTTGAAAAGGAGAAGGGGAATCTGCATGCAGCCAATGCTCAGTCATCAATCAATTAACAGACTATGAAACATGTAATATAGTAAACTGGAAAATAATACCATTGATTGTTAGAAACTGATACAGATGTTATTGAGTATGAAAATATTTCATTTGATTATTTAATGAGAATTCTTGACTTAGCTGCTATGTGTTTATAAAACTTTGTAACTGAACAAAAAAATTAAATTTCTGTATGTAAAATTTTACATAAAATGAAAATGCTTAAACAACTGATTTTGAAAAATGAAATAAATTTAATGAAAAAAAACAAATGTTAATACTGAGGGTTTTTTTGTGGGGGGCTAAATCTTGTTGCAGAGAAGATAAATGCTTCATTATTTTCTGAGCAGGCTTTCATATTTTTAATTCCATAAATTCTGCATGTAATTTTACTAGATTTAAAATTATCTAAAATCTGGAGTCGCCCAAAGTCCTGATGATTTTGGATCTTGGACTTCATGCTGTGTCGCCCAAGGTTCTGAAGTTTTTTTTAATATTTGCATACTTTTCCCCTTCCTCAATGCACATAGTTTTATCTATGAAGGCTAGATTATTATAATAAATTATATTCACTTGCTCATTTTTATTTATTGTATTCAATTTATATTTGCATTTCTGTATAAGTATTTCATCCATTTTTTTTCCTTGCATTCATTATTTGAAACATATTTTGTGTAGATTCTTCATTAAGCTACCTAGACATGGCAGAAAAAACTTTGAGAAACTTTCCAAACATGTGATTTTGGCTTACTTCTCTTATTTAGGCTCCAGCTCATTGAGACTGATTTGTTCAATCTTTTGAAATCTGGGTTTTCCCCCCCTTCTTCTTTATACCTCAGATGTCCCTTTCAGGAATTGCGATCAAGGTATTTTTGTATGAGGTGCCCATGGGAGGTTTGCAAGGGAGCTGAGCTGAACACATCCTGTTCCCCCAGCTCTGTTGCTGTTGGATATTGTAATGTTAATATTACTAAGTATTCTTATTGGAATATAGGTTTCTTTTAGAGAATTAATAAAAGAAGAAGAATATAAAAGAAAAATATTATAAAAGAAATAATAGTAATAGTTTATTCTTGACTATTTTTCATTTGTCATGCTCTTATTGTAACATTCTTTGGAAATTAACTTAGTGTCATAATTTTCCTTTCTTAATTTTCAGAGGATAAAATTGATTAAGAAAAAGGGAAAATATGGTATTTATTTCTGTTAGTTTATCTTTTCATGTGAAGCCCCACCAGTGATCCAGTGGCAAAGTCTCTGATTGCTGGTAGCTCAGTGCAAGGTTCACCTTCCGCAGATGGGCTGGCTGCATGGCCATATTTGTGGTTTTCCCCATGTGTAACGTGTATGCAAGCTAGTTTCCCTTAGAAAGTCCTCCATTAAGGCAGATAGCCCTTGAAGCTTTGCTGTAATCACATAAACTGAAACCCAAACCTTTTCATGTGAAACATTTTCTGTAAAATATGCTTGATCTTTAATTTAAGGACTATGGTATATATCTTTTGCTATACAATACTTGGACCTTTAATTGCTATAGATTTAACTGAAAAAGATAATACTAATGAAATCTGTTTGATTTTTAAATTTATTGAGATGTATTATTTATTTATTATTTAAGTTATTTAATATAAATAAGAAAATGAAAAACTGTTTCACATGTTTCTTTTATTGAATGCTGTTTTCTTAAGGAATAAAATTATTTTTCAGCGAAAAGAATAGCAGACGGGCTCGTGACCTGCACTTACTTCGCGAACTCAAAATGACTCTTAAAAATATCACAAAAGGTAACACTTACTTCATTAAATATTTTTTAATTAATTTTTTAAATGCCTTTAATCATACCTTTTTATTTATTTATTTTTTCAGGCAAAGCTTTCGAAATTATCAAAATTTTGAGAGACATGCGTACATCTTGCACTCGTATTCAGGTAAATGATTGATTATATATGAAATAATTTGATCAATCTGATTGCTGTCTCATTTTACTGAAATAATCAGTTTGATTTTACATATTTGTAACTTTCAATAATTATATACTATATAACATAGCTCCTGGCATATTTTACTCCTTTTTTTTAACTAATATTAGCATCTGAAAAGCAAGAGGGGAAAATTATGGGAAATTTCCGAGGAACACGATTACAGTAACAATGTAACAAATGAAAAGTAATCAGGCATAAGCTATTGGTAACTATCACAATATTATTTCTTTAAAATAAACTTTCATTACGATAAGAATACATAGTAATATTAATATTACAATATGTGATGGATATTGAGCCGATATCTGAAGGTAATTGATCTGAACGAGCATTACCTTGCTCTTTGAGATTAATT